TACTTTGACCTGCCGGCTACGCAATGGTCAATTCGCACATGTCGAATGTACATCTTTATTAAACAAATACAGTTGACGTCTTAATGTTATTTATAATGTCGTTATAGATAGTATTTCATTTTTCCTAGCCTGTGCAGCGTGTATATGCGGCCGCGCGTGATCCTGTGTCGTGTACTTGTGTGTATAGTTAATATACTATTGCTATATAATATACTTCTCATTTTTGTCTTGAACGATCTTTCAGTTTGCAGAGTTAACAAGATAATTTGACTGTTTCTGTGCGTCGCGGTGCAGACGCGCCGAGTAACTCAGTGTGTCATGTTAAAATTAAAGACTTGTAAAGTCATAAACATTGCCTTAGCCATACGTCACGTTACGGCTCGAAACGTGTGTGTGTGCTTAGCGTACAGATATCATTTTTTTTTTCTTTTAATTATTTATTTATTCATAATAATTAAATTCCTTAACTGTAATATATATACTATGCCGTTACTTAATCTTATTAGTTAACACACAATCAATCTGCGATGAAGGAGGGAATTTAGTCGGCACGCAACGATATTCCGCATTACGGCCTAGCTAATCAGTAATTGATTATTTCACTCATTACATTACCGTCATCGCGCAATTTACCTTTTATTGTTAACATTCGATCGTATCGTTATTACGCGCTACTTCTTCACGTACTTTTCTTTCCTTTTTCTTTTTTTCTTTCTTTTTTCTTTTTTTTTCTTTTTTTTTTTTAAGAGAGTGTCGCATATAACGAGAAATAACAACGAGGTCCTGGAGTGATCGCTCGATATCTCATGAGAAATATGTAATATATTTATACACGCTCTACATGCTTCTTATGACTGAGATTGCATTTTTTAGTTTATTCGATTCCAATATCCCCGGGCAAAATAGAGAAAAAAAAATGAATCATTCGGAATATACACAGCAATTTCAAATTAATGAACTTCCTACACTCAATTTGGCTTCGTTCTATCGAAAACTATCGGCGCACGTCAATAATCCGAGCGCTCTGAAAAAGCTCTCGCGTAAACACGAGCGAAAAGCTCCATCCAGATTACGTGGGGAAAAAAAGTTTGCCGCATTGCCGAAATCCTGCGGCAAGACTAACGTCTGCCTCTTTTATATTTCTCATTCGACGCTACGGAAGGAAACGGCAAACTATAAACGGGACGAATGGCACGAGCGTTCGCTCCGCGAAACGTTATAATTTCTCGATTTACACGCGCGCGTGATCGCGCGTTTATACATGCACGTTTTTCACTGCTGTCGCACCGGGATAGGTGTCAGTGTGGTACGTGGAACGTGTGATGTATGTGTGTGTCTGCAAAAGTCGATACGCATCGGTGGCGGCGGGCGTGTAATATGCGCTGAAGAGAATGCCCCTCGCCTTGTCGTGATAGACGAGAGGGAGTCCTCCTCTCGGAAATTCGGAAGATAAGATTTGACGTGTTACAGCGCCTCCGATTTTTCCGAACTCTCTCGTTCTTCCCTTAAGATCCAAAATATTTCCTCTGGCCGTTTCAGGCGAACGGCACGTATGTGTGTATGCGTATGTGTGTATAAGTGAGACGAAGACAGGGGGAAGAGTATGTATATTTATATACGTAAACATACATACATACATACACGGGGGTATCTGTGCATATGTATACGTACACGCTCTAGCTGCCTACAAAATACAATGGTACATTACAAATTCTTATTTTTTTTTTCCCCTCATTTCCTTTTACTCTTCCCTCTTTTACCCCTCTACATCGTCATCATTTGCAAACAGCTTAGATATATATATTTTTTTTATGTATATATTATATAATAATAGTATCATCTAGTTGGTTTTTGTTCTCTGCGTTCCTTCACATTTCCCGTTTAATTAAATGATTAAGTACACATCTTTAGAGCGGATGCGCGCAACCGATTAGGTTCACGTGTGTTGCGAATCACTTCTCGTTTCATTGATTTCCTGATTTCTCGGTCGAAAGAGACTTTTGACCTCCCGATATCTCGCTAAATAACGAAAGATTTATTCGCAAAGCGCATGGGCGTCCCTTATTTCATCGCGTTCGGATTAAGGATCGTCTTATCACTCTACATATATTTTTTCTTGCGTAATATTAAATCATGTACATACAAGGTAGCTCGAGCTTGACGTAACTTAAGCCACGTGTTGCTTGTTGTTGATTTTGACCCATTTATGTATCACGATTAAAGTTATTTTTCAATTTTCCCAGGGTTGGAAAAAGTTACTTTATAAAAGTAACTCGTTACCGTTCTTTTTTCTGAAAAGTAACGAGTCATTAGAATTTCCATTATTACTTTCTCAGTGAATTTTTCTCACTCCTTTCTTGAGTTGCATCCAATTGTCTTGGTCATTAATCGAACAGTTCAATATAAGATCTGCAGTGATTGTGATTGTGGTTAATCACAATATATAGTCAAACATAACTCTTTCTTTCTTTGAAACACCCTTATACGTTCCATTGTACGTTTACAAAATAACGATAAAAAGTAACGATTATATTCATTATCCAAAAAAAAGTAACTGCGTTACCATTAATGTTACAAATAAGAAACGTACGTTACTCTCTAAATTCTTTGGAATGGAATCTCGCTATAAAGAATAAAAATTGAGCCAGTCTTGAAAAAGAATGATCCAATTTTTAATCTTTAAGAATGAGATTTCATTCTTCAGAATGACATTCACTCTAAAAATTTTAAGGAGAGCTCATTTGTTACTGAAAAAAGTAATTTTAAGGGTAACGACATTACGAGTAACCCATTACTTCCTAACTCTGTTTTTTACATCAACAATATATTCTTTTTTTCAGAAAGGAAGAGAATGAACGGCGAATTTTCCAAGCGATAAGAATAGGAGAGAGGATAAAACCAACGAGGAACTGTATCGCGTAAATAAAGGGATGCCCCATGCGTGTACGGTCATCGGGCAAAATTACTTTCTACGAGATACCTTTTTCCCATCGCGATTTTCACGCGTTCTTCTGACTTCGTTACATCGACATCGCATGATGAACCCGATAGAAGAGTGCGCCTGTCGCTTATTTACGATGTCGCTTGTACGACAGTCAAATGAAGTAGGAATCCCAAATACATCTCCCGAACTGTATAATTCACTGTGCACTTATGCTCGAGGATTAAGCATATAAACGCATGTGTACACATTTACGTAAGCTAATTTAGACACACTCATCAAGGCCAGATCCCTTCTTGATTTCAATCCTGCGAGAACCTCCACGATGGAGATCCGTCGCGAGTGCCTCGGCTGATTTTTTTTTTTTTTTATTGATTACCTTCTCACTGTGTTGCTATACGATCTTTATAAAATACGAGATTACGTTTATGATAAAATTCGCGTTGCAGTGTAATAAAATCGCGTTAGGAGAAAACATTAGGAAAGGAAAGACAGTACAAAAGCAAGCGTACACATCGGTATTTTTCATGTATATAAGTGTATATATGCGATCTGGTGTTATCAGGAACAGATAAACGATCATGCACGCCTCTATTTGTCTTTTTTGTTCTTTCCGGTGGTTCTTTCAGTCGAGCTCCGCTTTCTCGTTTAGAGCAACCCAAATTTTTGATCGAAATATCTGCTTTCGCGCGAGTCGGAGAAATGCGTAAGAGAGGGTGCATATTGTTAACCCTCCCCGGAAACGAAGAGAGAGAGAGAGAGAGAGAGAGAGAGAGAGAGAGAAATGGGGAAAAAGAAACCTATCTCCCGAGAACGAGAAAGAAATCCTTACGAAGTCGCGACGTTTCGCGACCGCTCGTTGGCGAAGCGAAGCTTCCCAAAAAACGTTTCCGACAAATCCCTTATAAAAATGATATGATATGCTCGTTGGAAAAATAAATTGTGTGTTCATTATAGTTCCCTATATGAATATAGATATATCCGTACGCGAGTTCTTCGGTACTGGTGCCTCCGCATTCGAACAATTCGGTATAATTTTACATTTATGTCAACACAGAGACACGCACATACATGAGGATCCGTTCATTATTTCGCGACGATAACGGATGCGCAGCCGTCGTGTCACCATTCCGACGAAAGAGAGAGAGAGAGAGAGAGAGTTTAATGTACCCCACGACGGGATCATTGCACGTGTATGACGCGTTTTCCGACACGGGACCATCGACAGGTATTGTACTTCGACAGCCCATCGGACGAACGGAGCGTCGCCTGGGAGCAACGTCCAGTAAACGCGCGTCCTTAACTTCTAAACCGTAAACGTCTAAAAATACAATCGGAACTTTTCACTATAACGCGCTTTTAGGTAGCGATAAAAAAGCTAAACCTGCGACCTCAGACTGTAGCGATTGCATGGCAAGCTCGCTATGCACCTGAACTACGATATCGCGAGAAGTTCCTAATAACAATACAGGGCTGATACCCGTCCATGGTGACGGGATACTGCGAAGAAAAGAAAAAACAGAAAGAGGTAAAAACGGCAGCGTCTGAAATTCGCTGTTAAAGACAATACGAATTCAACATACTACACTTGCTTAAAAGGCACGTAAAAGCATCAGTTTTCTCTCTGTGAAAAGAGCGATTGCACGATACGACACGTCTTGGGTCGGGGAGATTAACGGGAGAAGCACGCTCGATGGCTTCTCCAGCCGCTGCGCATTACTTTAGAATAATCGTCTACTACTCGAGACGAGACTCTCGCCACGGAATAATGAATGGATGCTGATACACATACATATATATATATATATATGTGTGTGTGTAGAGCACGTGCGTGACGCGTACACATAAACTACGTACGGTTAACTGTCGTTAATTCGTCAAACGCTTATAGACAAACTGAAACAACCTCAGACGAAGAGCGAATAATCCACCCTTAAGTCGATCCTTCACGTGTCAGATAATTTTAATTAATTAGAAATGAATATTTATATCAGAGGAAATTACATAACGCATGAAGCGTCTGCTCGCGCGCGGATTGTTCCCCTTGCCGAATATTTCATGTTCTCTAAACGTTGATGAATTAAATGACTGGCGAAACCGTCGTTTTTAAACGCGCCGTTTTTGTATGTGACACGCTTATGCATCATGTATGAATACGATGCTATATACCGATTATCTTAAATGTTGAAGCACTAGCATAGCGTGGCAATGTCCTTACTCATCTTCTGCAGACCGATCAGGAAGGAACATCGTGCAAAAGAAAAACGATCAAAGGCATAACGATATTTAAAAAATAAAAGTGCAAAATTGGGCAAGCATCGTATGGCCCAGGCTCAACCCGATTCACGTGCTACACCGAAGCGATTGGCTTGCAGCTTATTTTCGTATCTACGCGCGTTTCGCTGCCGGTTTATTAATTAACGTCAGCTCGTATCAGGAGCGCTTTTGATCAAAATACGAAAGACACGATTATTGCGAGAGAATTACATTCATGAGATCAAATGGACCTTAGATAAGAAAGTTTAGTCGAGAAGACGAGGAAGAATATAGAGTCGGCTCAGCACTCTGTTTCGCATTTAAAACTACGCTACCGGGCCGTCCTGCCTACAGTAATAATAAACATAATAATAATAATAATAATAATAATAATAATAAAAACAACTTTTCGATAAAATGGCTAGGTATAATATCGCAGCGATTAGTAATGAAATAAAATAGCGATAACCGTATTAAAAAGAAAGAAAGATAGTTAAAAGTATAAAGAGAAAAAGAGTTCCCTTGTCCTACTACTACCAATGATGAGAGTCAAGAATATAAATTAATACAATTGCCGTAAATATTCCCGTCGAGAATATTTTTGCGACATTTTAAGTATCTCTTGCGTGTATCTCCGATTCTACCAACATCAGCGACGTGTTCGTAGGTAGAAAGAGTTTTAACTATATTCAATAAAGCGTCCCGCACTCTTACAGGTTTTTTTTCCTGACGCTTAAGACGAGTACTAACTGAATGCCGTTTTATATCTCGTTACTTCATCGATTATACCAACGTCATCTACGAGAAAAGGTGAACGGGTGGGGACGGATAATACGATAACGCTCTCGCGTAGTAAAGAGGGTTAATAATCGTTATAGAATCGATCGAGCAGTGTATGGAGCGGCTTAGAACGTTAAATCTTATTACTCTATATTCTGGAAATTCGAAAGCGTAATAAATATTCTAATCCCTTAACGACGCTTTCGTGATATTTGATGCACAAGAAGAGAACTTGGAGAAACCGATCTTTTGGACGCAAGTCGCGTTCGACGAGAGATCCGTATACAATAATCCGAAACTCTTTACTCTCGCAGATTAAATTCGCGAAGCCGCCGATAGCTACGCCGATAGCTACGCCAGGAATCTTCATTGCAAGATATTTTCGAAATGTGTTCGATAAACATCAGACGGGTGTGTACGGCGAGAAGAAACGATATATAATAGAGAAATTTTACAGAAAGTGGCACGCGGCCAGTACTCTTCTCAGTGTCACGCGAAGAAAAAAGGGATGTGTGAGAATGCTCAGTGTAAAGATAGTAGGGTGATTTAAACATCACGATGATCCCACTCCAGATCGTGCGGCGAGTTGTGACGGCGGTGCCGACCGTTGCTGAGATCGCAATCGTTCTCACAGTCGGAGCTGTCGAGGTCATCATCTCGGAACGAGCCATCCTCGGAATCGGAGCTACCGGAGTCGTCCACGTCCTCGTCCCGCTGGCTCTGATGATGCTGGTCGTGTTCCGTCAACCTGTCCATCGGATTCACGGTGATAGCGAGGGCCGAGTCGTCCCAGGCCATCTCCGTCTCTGCGGCGAGCTCGTCACCGGCGGATCGTCGTCGTTTGGCCGCCCCGCGGACTCGCGCAGCGCCCACAACCGCCATCAGCAGCAGGAATCCGATGCAAGCGGCGGCGACGATAGTCACGGCATGGCTGCTGCCAGTGCCGCTAATGGTTCTGCTGCCTTCGCGAAGCGCGGCCGTAGCATACTCCTCCGTTAGATCGGCATGATGCGGCGAGAGCTGCGCGTGACCTGGTGCCGGTTCAACGATTCTGGCAATGGGCGGTTCTCCGGGCGTCGTACGCGGCAAAACGGTCGTCTTTTCCTTAGGATGAATTACGGCCAATGTTTGCACGTACTCATTACTGGCGAAGCGGCCGCTCAACTCGGAGCAGGTAAGTTTAAAGACACGATCGAGATAGTAAGCCGGCTTACGGTTCGTGTACATGATAAGACGAATGAGTTGTTGGTAGTTGTAAGGCGAATCCGCGCCAGAGAGAACGACGCCATCCCGATCGACGCGAGCGGAGATATCGTGGAATGCGAGGAGGGCGTCACCAGGTAATCCCAAGCTCTCATGATCTGGATTGAGACTTGGATAAACACTGACAGCGCAAGCATCCAATCGGGCGGCCGATCCGGCGGTGACGCGCGCGTCGGGGAATACACGTACTCCCAATCGGAAATCAGCGTATTCCCGGGCCACGTAACCGGTACCGTTGACGGTGATGCCTGGTCGAGGAGGCGGTAGTACGGTGACGTAGGACTGCACAGTCGGTACCGGTAGGGGCGTGTTCTCGCTACCCTCACAGACGATCGTTGTGTCAAGGCGGAAGTTACGACGGCCGGGCGTCGGGAAACGCCGAGTGTTGGAGTAGCCGATACGACGCAGCAAGGTTTCCACGTTTGTACGATTGTCACCATCGATACGAACTTCGGTCATATCGGAATTGGTCAGCAGCTGAGTACCCGGTTGCAACAAGTCCATCGGCGGCACGTGAATGCCTTCCTGACAACGCCGCAAACACGAGAGTACTTCCGGTTTCTCGTTTCGGCCAACTAAAACTGACAAACCGGCGAGGTAACCACGGAAATGGTGTTTGGTCTTGTTCTCGGAGCCCTGCCAGCACGCTCCGACCACAAGGGTGGTATTGACGCCCTTAGCCGGGTGTAAAGGCCAGTCATCGATGACTTCAGGGTTCTTCTCGTCGGCATGCCACTCTTCGCCGTCCACATATAGATTGACACGTGGGAAGTCTACCTGAATTGCGTAATGATGCCACTTATCGTCGCATACCTGACCAAGCTTCCAACGCCATTCGGCAGCACGGAAGATGTTGGGATCACCCTCGGAGAAGTCGCGTCGCAGCAGCAAAATCAATCTGCAGTTCCTTATGAACAGGGCGTAATGGTGCCTATTCATCTCTGTAATTGAAACGGCGCGGCGTTAGTTGCACCTTTCGTGACGCTGCCGCGCGTAATAAAGTGTAGAAACGCGCGACGGCATTAAGGGTAGAAGAGAGATTTAACGTGAAAAGGGGTAGAGCGGGAGGAGAAAGACGAGGGAGAGAGAACGTTTATAACTGAGGATTACACGTCGCCCATGGAGACCGGTTGGTATTTAGAAAGATTTGTATTTCAGACCGGGTAGATAGGTAGGATATTTGAGTTGAACTCTTCGCGAAGGCGAGCGAGCGTACGAGCGCAAGAGACGACCTATATAAGCGCGCTCGACCTGATTTCTTGCCAAAATTCATTCCGCGCAAGGATTAAGCCGCTTTGTTCGAAACTTCACGATAATACCCCAGCGTTTCCGCGGAGTGAACGTGTATATTTTAACGCATGAGCACGCCCACTCTCGGCAGCGCGTAATGTATTCTGTTAACAGCGGCTACATCGATGAGCATCGCTCGACATTGGAACGACCGGCGAGCTTATCAGCAGCTTTAAATAATTATTATCTCTTCTTTAGATATAAAAGGAAATGAAAATTACTAAGTTTACAGTCCATTTCTTTGTTTTCCTTTTTAAAAACCAACCACGATAATCGTATAAAAACATACTATTAATTTCTTTATGATTTTCCAAGACGAGGGTGAAAGTTCGATATCAAGGAAAATCTTTGTTTATCATTTTACAATTATCTTCTTCATCAACTAGTTGCTCTTACGTGAAAATTATACGTGGTTTATAGCCTATTTCCTTGTTTTCTCTTTACAAAGCCAATCGGGACAACTGTAAACGTGATAAACGTGAAACGTGATGCTATAATGTTAATCTAAAGTCTGTGACTTTTGAAGGCGTTAGT